GATCTGCTGGAAATCTGTACCTCCCCACTCCTCACCTTCTTCTTCCATTCCTCTCCGCCCTCTCTGACCCCCCGACCCATCTCCCATCCTCTCCCCCCCCTCTCTCCCTCCTCCTCTCCCCTTCCCCCCCCCTCCTTCTCACTCCCTACCTGACTCTCTGCTGCTAGCAAACAGGCGGTACCATCAAAGTTTCGTTTGACTTCACCTTTCCTTGTACCGATCTCAGCCAATGCTCACCCTCCATGAACCTCTCCCTCCTCGACTTGCCGCTCCCCAAGGTTCTCGTCTCCTTCGCTTCGCTTCATGAGTCATGGCAGATCTTCGTATATGGCGCCTACGATCGAGCTTTCTACATACCGGACTCCACAAACATCACGCGTACTGCCTCTAAATCGCTCTCCCTCCATTCCCCCCTCTCCCTCTTCCCTCCTCTCCTGACTCGTTGCAGATTCGTCCGAGGACAACATGCAAGATTTCTTGAGCGGCTATCGTTGCTCGGTCCTCTGCCCTCGCTCGTTCCCCCCGCTCATCTGATGTGCAGGGCAAGGTAGCTGACTACGTGCGGGAGACAAGATGCACAGCTTCAAACCTGATTTCAATCGGTCCTCCTCCTCCTTCTCATTCACAATCACCACCATCTCACCGTCTCTCCTCCTCCTCCTCCCCTCCTCCACCTCCTAAACTCTCTCCACTCCATCTTCTCCTCTTCTCCTGCCTCCTCGTCTTCTGGTTCACCTGCCTGCAGCTGCCAATCAAACTCGCTGCCGGGTGCAGGAAAGCTTTCGCGTCTTCAACGGCGAGTCTCAGGTGAGCGAGAGCTGGCGAGGAGCAGGAGGGTGAAAGCAGACAGGATGTTCAGAACTTCATCGCCATCGGACACTGCGAGCTGCAGGTGACGCGTCGCTGCGAGGAGGCCGGCGGTGACTCGTGGCAGGGGAGGGTCAACTGGACCATCGAGATCGAACAAAGTGATTGGCGAGCAGGTTGAGAAGGCAGTGACGCGACGGCAGGCATCGGCACAAGCAGCTCGAGCCCTGGAGTTTGCGGTGCCTCCTACACTCCTATTACCACCAGGTTGAGGAATAAGAGGAGAGGAGAGGCGTGGTAGTACGAGAAGGGGGAGGAAGGAGGAGGAGGAGTGGTACAAGGAGGACGAGGACGAGGACGAGGACGAGGACGAGGACGAGGACGAGGACGAGGAGGCTCAGGAGGAGGTGGTGGTGGTCTTGGGTGAACCTACTCCAGATGCTTTTCAGTCGCCGGCGCACCATGTTTGACGGCTGCGAACAGCCCCGGCGACAAGGCAACAGGGAGACGTCGAGAGAGGAGAGGAGGTGACGACAGCTGACAGGTCTACACGCCATCCAAAGTCATCAGCCGGTCACTGCTCAGTGTCCTAGCAGGTAGCGTAAGGGTGGAGCTCGAGGAAGAGGAGGCCGAGGATCGCAGGTGGGAGGGATGACTTTGCCGACAGTTTGCTTCGCAGCAGGGATGGCAGCTGGGCTGCTGGGGCTCAAGGGCTATCAAGTGATGCTGCTTTTACTCGCTCAACGCTCACTCCTGCTCCAGGTGCGCCTCAAACGCCAAAAGCATGCAGCCTTCCTGCGGGGACTCGACGTGTCCTCCAGGCAGGGCGCAAACCGACACTGAAGCCAAGCAGAGCACCGAATAGAGACTGCGAGGAGAGAAGGAGGAGTTGATTATCTAAGAGAAGAGGAGGGAGAATGAAAGTGCTAAAGTACAAGGCAACAAGACGTCGAGCTCTAGGACATCTGGTCTTGGCTTACCAGAAACACCCTCATCCCGTTGACCTCGATGACGTTGCCTCCGCTCAGGGCGGGCGATCGCGATGCCTTGGCTGCCATCTTCTGAGCGAGGAGAGGGGTTTCTGAAGGCACGTCCATCAGCACAGGCTCCAGCTCAACTCCCAGAGGGTCCGGTCGAGACACAGCTTGAAATATGGACTCAGCCGCCCCCGGGGTTTGAGCCAACGATTCTGATATGCTGGCAGCAGATTCTCCTGCTCTGAGCAAGAACAACTCGTTGCATTCCACGACTCCTCGTTTTCCCTTGAAGACCGCAAAATGCCGCAAGTCCTCTCCATTCCTCATTGAGAAACGTCGAGAATTGCGTGCAGAAAATGGCAGATGAGCACGGGAAGCAGAGCATAAGCTGAAGCTTCCAGAGCAGGACGACGACATGGTGAACAAGCTTCTCATAGACACTTGTGAGAGAGGAATATGACGACCCGTTAACGATGAAAATTCAGGGGAACTGATATGGTTCTGAAGGGGAGGAGGAGCAGACGGTAGGAAAGGTTTGTGATAGTGGGGAAGCAGAGGAGGGCTGAGTGAATGGTTGAAAGGAGGACGCAGGGGAGGACGAAGAGGAGGAGGAGGATGGGGATGGAGGGGAGGGCGGGTAGACCGGCATGCCGCTCGAAAGATGCGGCAGGAGGACATTGCGATGTTGGTTGGGGGAAAACTGGTTGGGGAAGGCGAAACACGAACCTGTCAGGTGGGGGTAGGTGAAAAGGGTGGGGTAGAGGGTTGCCAGGATAGAGATAAAGGAGGTAGGGGTCCTGCAGCTCTGCAAAATGTCGGCAGGGGTAGTAAATTTGTTGGTGAAGTACCGGTCTGATACACAACATATATTGTGGTAGTCTTCCAATAGCGATGGTATTTGCAACACCTGGGTTCAGAGAGGGGGGTGTCTTCTTTGAGGTAGGGTAGGGGTAGTGTCAGATAGTTGCAGGGTGATTGAGGAAGGGGTCCAGCAATGTGATATAAATTGAGGTCGAATGAGGGGGTGAGGGTGGAGATTGAAAGCAATTGGTGGGGTGTCACTATGACCCTCTAGTTATAATAGGGGGTAAAGAAACTATAAAAAGGGGGGTATACTAGGCACGAGAACCGCAAGTTGATGGGTAGGGTATGAAAACAAGAGGGTGTTGGGGTAGGGTTTGTGGATCTCCAATTTGCTTCCAGTTGAGATCGTAAGTTATTTCCCTGTGAATTTAATTTAAAAACAAAATAACTAATTATCACAGGATTGCAACTGTGGCATGATCGGATCCCGGCGGCGGCGGGCCACTCGCGGCGACCGCCGGGGTGACTGCCCGGCACTCAGTGACTAGGCTGCGGCCCGGCCAGTGTCACTAGAGTGCCGGTGTCTGAAGTTAAAATTTTCAAGTTTAATTCTACTAGTACATATCAGAGTCGGCCACGGTTCACATCAGCCGCTTGCTACGCCGGGCCGCACTCGCCGGGACTCCACTACCGTAGTACTACGGTACCGTACCAGGCTTGACAGTGAAGGCAGCCGGGCCCGGGGCGGCGCCGGGCCCCGGTGCCAGTCACTGATTCCGACTCAGTGACTCTGACGGTGCGGTACTCATGATGACCGTCGGACTGATCATTGGCTGCTACTACCGTTCACTGTCACCACTGCTACGTTGAAGTTGCTGGGGAGCTGCTCGTCCTTCTCATCAAGAGCTCCCACGGGATCGTCTTGGCCAGCCTGAGGGGCCTCGTGCAAAACGATCAAGGGCCCGAAGTATCCGAGAACGACAGGGAGGAGAACCACCGCATGGAGACATCCCAGCAGCAGCACCGCAAAGAGGATCTGCCAACCGGCTGTCAGAGGACGAGCACGCGGAGGAGAACTTGTTACGCAGAAGAAGGAGAAGAAGATTCTGCTCTTTGAACCGAGAAGAGCCAGGAGGGCAATCATGGTCGAGATGTCTCCCGCGAGGATGGGGAGACCTATTCGTTCTAACGCATCGATCGCCTGAGCTCCTCGTCAGCTGGTCCTCTTGCCACCTCTCCTACCTTCGCCTTCCTCGTCGCCAAGCTCAGCACCCGCCCGTCCTCGCTGTGCACCACAGCCTGACTGCTCATGAAGGCATGCACGTAGTGAGCGACGTTATCGATGGAGAAGCCGATGCCCAACACCTGGGATGCGCTCACAAGGCAGCAGGCAAACACGAGAGGCTTACGAGATCGATCATGGAGATGGTTTCAATCCTCATATTTGACACCAGAGACATGCTCGCCAGCGTCCCACCTGGCGGTCATCCTTGAATGTCATGGCTCTATCAGCAACGCTCCTCTAGCAGGGCCCACCAGGATCATCCCCACGACGATCATAGCGAGGAAGCAAAGAACCTGGTGCATGTGTCAGAGCGACGAGAGGCTTGCTGTCACGTGAAGTCACCGGGTGCGGGATGATGATGACCGTCACGACAAAACAAGCTGCAGCCTGTACTCTCAACGTCATCCGAGACATTATAATGCATCTCGCTTTGGCTCACCGCATAGATAAGGTTCAACACTGTCTGCTCGACAATGATAGCTGATCCTTCCCAAAACACCAACGAGTCTCTATCATTGATGGTGAGCGGCCTTACATCCTTGTTGGGAGGAAATGCCTCGTCCAAGATTTTTCTGACTTTCTTCATGCAGGGCACACCGACCTTGTCCCCGCTCGTTGTGGTGCCGGGAATCTGCCTGACCTTGATACGAAATGCCTTGATGGAAGAAACCTTGCCGTCCTTGAGCTCAACGATCATGTCTTTGAGGTAGTCCTTCCCGTTCCCTTGAAGCCATGTGCTAAGAGACGAGTAGAACGCGTCCCCTTGAAGCGTTTCGTCTCCTCCTCCCTTCCTCACAAACTCTTGGAAGTCCCTCAACCAAACACCCTGAGGCACTGGCGTGAAGCACGCGTCCTCTTCTATCTTCTTCGCAGTCTCGAGGAACTTCACCCGCTCTCCAGGCAACGACATGTCGGTCACAGCAGAAGGAAAGGCGATCAGGTAGAGAGGGCCATAGTCGTTGAAGAGTCTGAACCTTTCTGAGATGAAGATCGTCCAGTACGAGTCAGATGCTGCCAGGTCACGGACGTCAAGTCCAGTGCCAACATTGGCAGCTCCGTAAACGGCAACGGCGAGGTACCCGGCGAAAAGGATCAAGATAGAGGCGGAAACAACCGGTTCAAGAAGCATGCGGCCATACGCTCTTGCGACTCTCTTTAGGAGCTCAGTCTCTGGCTGGGAGCGGCAATGCCCGTCGGCTGTCACGTAGTTGGTGTTGCTCGGAGTCTCGTCGCTCTTGTACAAGTTGGGCCAGAGGTATCCCCTCCCGACGACGGACCAATACCATGCTACCTGCGAGTACTCTCTGTGCGAGTCAAGAGCCATTAAGGCTCCGACGAAGAGCAGCTGATACACGAACATGAACGCCACACCAGCTGCTGCATACGCGCAGAACCCTTGCACTGCTAGGAAGTTGCTGGTTGCGCCCACGGCGAAGGCGAGGAAGTCGGTGAGGGAAGTGAAGAACATCGAGACTCCAGCGGTCCTGAAGGCGAGCTCCATCCGTTGTTTCACTGTAGCGTCCTTGCTCAACTTCTCTGCAGTGTAGTGATATGCCTGCACCATCACAAAGGAGTCGTCGACTCCGAGACCCAAGAGCAAGAAAGTAACGAAGGCAACGACAGGATTGAATTTCACTTGACTATACCCCATCAGACCAAACGAGCTGCCAATCGCCATGCCAATCGCCCCGCAAGCAGCAAAACTCAAGAATGCTTTCGATGCCACCTTGTCCATGAAAGAATGCATGACGATGAAAGTAAAGGCCATCACCGCAACAAACGAAACAATGAGCAACTTGATGTCGCTGCTTGTGCTCTTCGAGAGTTCCTCTTCCTCTGACTTTTCAATCTCGTATGCCAGCTTGAAAGGTAATGATGGCCCTTGCTCCTTGGCGACAGTTTGGACATGCTTGAGAAAGTCTTCTTCCCACCTAGCCATCATCGACTTGTCTGTCGTTTCCGCTATCGAGTACTGGAGCAACAAACCAGCTGCTGACTTGACAAAAGAGTTTTCTGATTCCACACGGCCCCCCAGAAACGTGGCCACTGGGATGTATCCAAATCTAGGGTTGTTGTAAAAGCTTGCGGGAATTCGTTTGATCTCCTCTTGGCTCAGGTCTACAACTCCGATAAAAGAACAGTTGCTCTCGTAGCCTATACTGCCTGATCGTTTGCAAATATCTTTGAAGGTAAAAGAAATCTTCTTATCACCAGTGGCAATCACCGATTCCATCTTGATAATGCCTTCATGGATACTTCTCAAGCTATTGATAACTTCTGCATCAAGAAGGTTCTGTGCATCATTGCTGGTATAGGCCAGCAGAGAGCTGTAAAACATATCAGAATCTCGCAAAATTCCATGATTCCCTACTCTCACCTAGTGCGCTTTTCAATGTCTTGGTTGCCGAAAATAGCACTATACAACTCTCTCTCATCCCTTGCTCTGTTCCATCGGGCAGGGGCATACAACTTCTGTGCTGCACTTTCAGACTTGATCATGGTAATCCCAGGAACAAGCGAAGCGCACATGACAAGAGCGAGCAAGATGGATCGGAACGGGTAGCTTCCTACGCACATGCCGACGTATCCGAAGCCATCAGCCAGTCTTGACTCGATGGTGGCCGCTGCGACGCTGAAGCGATCAAGGCAGGGCATCAAGCTTGTTGACACACGCGACCTGACTGCGCCAAGACCAGGATCGTGGAGGTAGCAGAAGAAAAAGACAGCAATCCGAGCACGTTACACTCTCTTGCTGTCTTCCAAAATTAAGTGATACTTTCACTAGTCTCTCTAAAAAAAAGCGGTCATAGACATCCTGATTTACTTTGTGTAACCTTGAAAATTTGAAGCGTATTTGGAATTTTATCTGTATATTCCAATTAAACAAGCGATATTTCGGAGTCAGAGACCTAACTTTACTGAAAAAACTCTTGTTCCATCCTTTGACTCTAGCTAGAGGCTTTTCGGCTATTAGTGTTTTAGCTGGTCAGCACCGCAACCATCATCGCGACTTTAGTTATCTCGGTCACGGGGTCACGCGGCGCCCAGTGACTGTCCGATCGGTCGGACTCGGCCCGGCGGGGGCCGCCGGGCCGGGCCGAGTCAACTGCGGCCATGATCATTCGGAGTTTTGCTGCTCACCGGCTTGTCTGATCACTCAGTCAAGGGCCGCGGAGTGATTGAATCGGATGATATTATTGATTAGGCTCAGCTGTATGGGCCACAGGCTTTGCCATGTACGTGCCGCCGCTCAAAACACAGTGACTCTCAGTTATCATCCTAGTAGTCACGATCAGCTACCGTACTCAATCATTGTGACCGACGGTGACGGTCGGACAGGCCGGGGGCCGCGCCAGTGACGGTGATTGCGGCATTAGCCGCATCATGCTGAATCATTTGCCAGTCATCAAGTGACTCGCCCCGAGCCGGCAGGACGGTGACGTTGCGCGGGCCCTCCAGTGACTTCAAGGTGAAGCGGAAGATGCCGCTATGCGTCATGTTGTGGCCGACGCGCAGCTCGTCACCCTCCTCGACTCTGGTCCAGCTGCCTCGAGTCGCCAGCCGCTCGTTGACCAGGCAGCCGCCGCGCTCGTGAGACTTGAGGTAGAAGCTCGAACCCTTGTCCCGCCCCCTGCCGTACGCCAGCTGAGCAAACATGCGCAGCGGCTTTCTCGAGGAAGTGACAACGCATCTCCTTGCATCGTCGTCGCTTCCTATCGCCACAGCAGCAACACACGAGAGGTCATGCATGGCCAGGACGCGCGAGCAGCGCTTGTTCGGATGGAGTTGCGCGAGGAGGATCGTTGCGTTGTTGTTGTCTCGGGGAGGAAAAGCCCAAGCGGGTGCTACCGATGACTCTTCCTTCGCTGCTGGAGAAACTCGCGCGAAGGAGCAACAACGACCTGCTGTGACGTCGAGGACGCGGACGTCGGAGAGAGAGGAGCGGGTGGGGGAGGGGCGAGACTCTCGCGTACCATCCCCCAGCTCTCCGTTTGCGTTGCTGCCCCATCCATAGAGCCCTCCTCGAGCAACCGCGAGAGAATGAGAAGCTCCAGCTGCGATGCTGCTCGCCTCCTCCAGCACCACCACCGGTCGAGAGCTGTAGGAGACCCTCCCCTCCCCCACCTGCCCGCAGCCGTTTCCTCCCCATCCCCACACCTGCCCCTTCTCGTCCAACGCCAGCGAGTGCACGCCTCCAGCTGCGATCTGGCAGACTCGAACTCCCTGCGGCAGCGCGACAGCACGAGGTCGTAGAGCAGCGCCTTGCGGCTCCTCCTGGCCCAGCTGCCCGAAAGCATCCCATCCCCAGGCCATCACCGTCCCGTTGCTCAGCAGCGCCATGCTGTGCGCCCGCCCTGCCGCAACGCGCACGACTCGCTCACTTCCTCGGGAGCTGAGCACGCAGGTGGGCCTCCAGGTGGACTCTAGGGACCCGTCTCCCAGCTGCCCGGGCACGTTGGCTCCCCACGCGTACACCGACCCGTCAGCAGTGAGAGCGAGCGAGTGACGATGCCCGGCAGCGACCGACACGATGGCAGGCAGCCCTTGCAAGAGGTGCCCAGCAGCATCGGAGCAGGAGGGGGGCAGCCCTAGTTGACCGTCGGAATTGCTTCCCCACGCGAGGACGGAGCCGTTGCTGAAGAGCAAGAGGCTGTGCTCGCCCCCAGCGATGACCTGCTTCACCCCAGCTGGATGTGACGCAGACAGGAAGTCGCAGGCATCAAAGAGGTTCTTCCATGAGGCCGGCAGACGCGTCTCCTCCCCCCAGGCGGTTGGCATGCGGAGACTGGTCCTGGTGCTGGGATGCGCCTCATGGTGACGATTCGCTCCCCAGCCCCACAATCTGTCACCTGCGACCGCGAGCACATGCGAATCACCGGCAGAGAGGAGAGACACGACGCGGGAAGGAAAGAAGAGGTCCTCGGGGAAGGCACCAACAGACATCGACAGCGCATTGAGGACCCGAGGGATGAGTCTGTCTTGCTTCTCGCTCCTCGCTCCTCCAGGCACCTTTCCCCACGCGAGGACGCCTGTTACCTGCTTGAGCACGTGGACGCGAAGGCCTCTGGAGATGCAACGAAACTCATCAACAATGTCTTGACCGAGGGCAGAGCAGGACGGATCGAGCTGGGGAGTCGAGGAGCAAGGAAGGTGCTCGCCCGAGAGGATGCAGTCGCCATCTCTCAGGTTCATGCGGGCACAGGCGAGGCACTCGAGGAGGAGGCGATGAGGGGAAACGGAGAGGGCGGTAGACAGCCGGAGCTTCAGCTCACTCGCAGTCGAGCTGCAGGTCTTCACCTCCTCTGACGTTGCGAAATTGACGGAACAGTTGACATGATCCCGGAGGCAACGCGGAGAGAGGAGGGAAATCTCTGGCTCGCCCTGCACAACCTCAGCGAGGGGCTCCCTTGCGATCGCTGCTGATCTGCGACGGTCAGTGATGAGACCCGCGAACTCCTCGGACGAGAGGAGCAGCAGCGAGGCTTCTCGAAGACTCAAGTCAAGAGCACGAGACCAAGCTTCTACCAGCTCAACCTGATCCGACCCGACAGCTGGCACCTGCGATATGGATTAGCTAAGATCAGCTGCTAGGAAGATTGAGTTACTGACGTCAGTACTTGCCCTGCCTCTACCGCAGATCCTCTGGCGAGTCATCACCAGCAGCACAAGGCCTCCTTGCTCCAAGACCTTCAACCGCCTCTGCTCATCCTCCTGGTCCCACCCGCGGGGATCAAAAGTGCTCCCGGCGTCGACCCACCTTACTTCATTTCGCTTCACGTGAATCGAGGTTGGCATGAGACGTCTGACGGAGGCGAGAAGCTGCCTGGCCTTGCACTTCATGTTGTGCGGATGATTGTGCGGCATCATGCCGTGCAAGAGCGCGTAGTTGTAGAGGACAGCAGGGCTGGACGCGTCAACTGCCAGCGCTCGTTCGAAGAAGTGCTGTGCCTTCATCCATAACGCTCCTTCCCTGACCGATGAGTAGATCACCCCCAAGTTGTTCAGAGCGTCGACTGCATTCGGGTGTTGATCGATGTGTTGCTTCAGCCATGCGACTGCGGTACACGCCTTCCCTCCCTGTGCACTTCGACATGCCTCCTTCATGCTCGTTAGTTCCCTCACGCCCAACTTCGCCTGCTTTCGCCTCTTAAGCCCATCGTTACTTCCTCCCACAATCTCCGTCAAGCGCAAGCCCTTCCCTCGCTCTGCATGCGCCGCTCTCAACGTTGGGAGAATGACGGTGAGCCTGACTAGCGCATTGAGCCCACAAGCAGCAACGTGCGGCCGGAAGAGGCATAGGATAGTCAATGCCGACCGCAGTTTGCAGCCAACCTTTGACCGTCTGCAAGGGTTGGAACGCAGGGAGTACAGGAGGAAAGTAGAGACAAGAAGCAGGCAGGCGAGGATGCCGTGATGAAGGCAAGAGAATGTGTCGTGATGGAGCTCAGTGAGACAAGACGACCATGAACCGGGAAGTGAAGAAGCGGAGCATAGAGGAGCAGGAGCAGGGGCATCAACATGAGCTACATTGCGTCTTCCCTGCGTCATGCGACCATTGCCTACATTTCAGAACTTGAGCTGGATGATGGTAGACCAGAGTTTCGAAAGTACCCCTAGGAGCTACCAAGTTTTGACTACAAACAATGGGTAGGGTGGTAACCAGAATCATGACAAAGACCACCCCACGATGGGAGTGCCTGATGGTGGGGGTGGTGGTCCCTGGTGGGGGACAATGTACCCCGAAATTAGAGGGGTAGTAACAGGGTAATGTGGGGGGTATGCTGATCCTAGACAAGGGTGGGGTCATGAAGGTATCAAAGGTGGGTGGGGGTGGCACGGCTCTTCGAAGGCGGCATGGTAGGGTTAAAGTTTCTGGCGGCGTCGGCGTTGGCCGTCGCGATGCTGGGGCTTCTGACCGTGAGAGGAGGAAGTCGAAGAGCGACAGTGCTGTCAGATGTGAGTGATGCTCTTCTTCCTTGTGCGACATGCTCTTCTTGTGCGAGAGAAGCGCAAGCGTTGATGATCGATGAGTGATATCTGCCTTCAGGTGGCTGTTTCTACCTCTAGTTTCCCTAGCTACTATGGAGCGCCAACGAGTGCGCCTGCAAGAAATTTCCAGTGAGTCATTCAATTTCAAATCAACATGTTCGTATTGATGTCGGATGGATCTCTTCAGGTATCCGTCCATGAGCTCTGGCTCAGCTCCTTCCCTTGCTGGATGCGGAGGGTAAGTGCGACATGCGATCTTGATGTTCTTTGAATCCTCCACAACTTCATGTTTATAACCACCATCTCCTCCACAAATTCATTCTCATTAATGCTAACACCAATTCCACACACACAAATAAAAGTCGCTGCCTTTCCTGCTATCTGTTTCTGCTTACTCCACTTGAATCCTTTTCATCTCAATCCTGTTTCGGATCATCCTCTTCATTCTCTCCATCTTAACATCTCTGTCTGAACATTAGTTCGAGCAACTTGTGACGTCCTCTCAGGGTCGTTGTGTCTGGTCCTTGCATGGTCCCAGGCGGTGGAGTAGCAGCCATGGCAGCTCCTTCCGTCTACCTTCCCTCCTACTACGGGGCTCCTTACGGGGCCCCCTACTATTCCGGGGCAGGGATGAACACATTCCAGGCCCCGACGGTGTGGCAAGGAGACCATGTGGTCAGCGGGGGGCAGCCTGAGTGGGCGTCAGAGGACGCAGCGCAACATGCTCTGAACCTCGCCAACTGGCGAATCAAGCTGCTTCAGGCAAAGCTCGAGCAAGCGAAGCTCGCTTCCAAGGTGATGAACGTGGCCGCTCCGGGAACATACGAGAACGAGGAGGACGAGTACAAGACCAAGACAGCGGTGACAAACCTGAGAGGGTGGAAGAGATGTACTCATTATCGTGACAGTCTCAGCTGAAGCAGATCAAGAACGGGCTCGTCTCTCTCGCCTCTTCCACCAGGTCTTGTGTCTGACATGCCCTTCCTGCCCTTGCTCATCCCCGTGCCAGTGACGCGATTTCTTCGCTCGCTGATAAGGTGAAGCACATCAAAGGACCGTCCAAGACGAAGCACAGGTGAGTTAGGAGCCGCGACCTGTGCAGCTGATGTTGGGGCAGCAACTACCTCAGCAAGTTGAGGCAGCTGAAAACCTCGACGGACCAGCAGCTCTCAGCTATCCTCAACAAGATCGACAGCATCGCCAAGGACAAGTGAACACTCTCGTTCCTCTCCTTCTTTCCGTGTTGTCTTGTAGATTGTGTAAACGAGAGGAGAGCTCGTACAGTGGTGGAGGAGTAGTAAATTCTCGCTTTTAAACATCGTCGAGCGATGGGCCCCAGGCGATCCAGTGATGGTCATGACTGACAAAGAGGTCACCCTTAAGTGGAGGAGGAGGAGGAGAGGATCACCTTGCGGTCACTAGTGAGGCCCAGCCAAGACTGCTGGGCAGCCAAGCAACGTCGAAGATCTGCTGGAGTGTCAGGATGTGCCAGAGATCAAGGAGAGAGCAACCTGAGCCGTGTGACCCTCGAGCTTTCCCTCTAGGGTGCACGGCATTCTCTCCGTGTTCCAAACGTACGCAGTGCAGTCAGACGAGCCAGCCGCCAGCCACCTGCCGCATGGCGACCAGGCGATGCGCTTCACTTCCATGGCATGCTGCAGCTCGTCCACTGTCGTGAAAGTCCGCCTCAGGTCCCACAGGCGGCACGTGGAGTCGTCGCTGCCTGTTGCCAGGAATTTACCGCAGGGGGAGAAGTCAAGGCCGATGACGTCATCCCGATGCCCCTCCAGACGAAGCGCCGCTGACTTCTGCCGCAAGTCCCACAGGAAGCCCATCCGGTCGAAGGCGACGGAGGCGACCAAGCAAGCGTCCTGCTTGTGGAACTTCACGCCGTAAACTGCTTCCTCATGCTCCCCTGCCAGCGTCTGCACGGGAAGACCTGTGGCAGGCTCAGGGAGAAGCGATGAGAAAGTCAGGCGGGCAAGGAGTCAAAGCATAGGATAGGCAGGGCATCATGAGGGCGGAGGGAGGAAACATGAAAACATGATGAGGGGAGGTTAAAAACGAGCAGAGAAGGAAGTAGAGAAACGAGCAGAGAAGGAAGTAGAGAAGGAGAACCTCTTTCCACGTCCCAGACCACACAGGTCATGTCGTCAGACCCGGAGACAAGCCGGTTCGTCAGGCCCCCCGAAACGTCTCGTTGAAAGTTGAGCGAGTTCACCTCTCCCGTGTGTCCCTTCAACGACTGCAATAACCTGCCGTCCTCTCCGGACAGTAAGTGGCACAGAGAATCCATGCAGGCGGTTGCGAGGATGCGCTTCTCCCCTTTCAGCCCTGGCAGCACGTCAAATGAGCTTCAAGCAGCGACGAAGGTCACCGAAGCTGACGGCATAGAGACCGGAAGAAGGACGAGCTGGTTGCTTCCATGACCTCATGAAGCCTCTCGCGTGCGGCTCCAGCTCAAAGACATCGCAGCTGCCGTCCCAGCAGACTGTCGCCACCTGGCTAGACACGGTCGTGTCGATGCCATGGATCTGCATCCTGCAGCACAGTCATGCTCAAGAATCTCCCCCTTCCCCTCCCATCCCCCTACCCCTTTCTCGCCCTCCCTTTCCCCTCCTGCTTTCTTTTCCCTCCCCCTCGACATCTCACAGCTCCCTTCCTCCTCTCACCCTTGTCTTGGGCTCTTCCACACAGCAACCCAAACGCTCGGGTTGGAAGTCGGCTGCTCTCCTTCAGCCGGTGCTGTCTCTCCGTTGGGTCCATCCCTCATGGCCGAGACGTGACTCGCCTCCTCCTCCTCCCCTTCCTCCTCCAGCTGTCCAAACTTCAAGTTCGGCTCCAGCATTACCGGAGGGCCCCAGCGGCCTCTCATTTCACTGCTCTGAGACATGATCTTGATGCTGTCGTCGTCCTCATGCTCCTCGTCTGAGTGCCCCCCACGTTGACTGACTCGCTCTGAGCCCATGCTCTCGTGTCTCACGGGAGTGTGGGAGCCTCTTCCTCTCTCCTGGTCCTTGATCGCAAGCGCTGACACCAGCTGTCGGTTTTCCTCTTGCAAGCTCTTCACCTGTTGTCCCTCGTCATCAACCAAGGCAGCAGGCAAAAGGTGATCTCGGCATGCTCAGCTCACCTGGAATGCGAGGCTTGAGCAGTATGCTTGCGTCTGCTCCAGCTGCTGCACGAGACGCTCGCGCTCGTCCGCCCAGGACTTCATCATCCCCCCCATCTGCTCTCTCCTTGAGACCAGGGCAGCAACAGGCACGAAGTACCTTCTCCAGCACACGGGGATACTCCTCTATCCATGCGGGTTTCCCTGCAGAAAGGATGAGAAGAGGCTCAGGGGCAATCATCTCAGTCCGATACTCGCACTCGAAGCCGGAACTGGCACCTCCTCTGCTGACCTCTGCGAGGAATGCATCGGTTCAGGGCCTCTAGAATCTGGTGAGCCAAAAGGATTATGATAGACCTTCACCACCAGCACATCACCTCCAGGCTCCTTCTAATGCAACCTGCACCATCTCCTTGATCTGAAAGCAGAACAACAAACTCAATCCTCACCTCCCTCAACTTACATTCCTCCTCTCAACCATTCCCCTGCCTCCATCCTCCGCTCCTCTTCCCTCCCTTCACCTTCCTCTGATCCTCTTCCCTCCCTTCCCCTTCCTCCGATCCTCTTCCCTCCCTCCCCCTTTCTCCGCTCCTCTCCTCTCCCTTCCCCTTCACCATCCATCCTCGAAGCTCCTTTCCCGCTCCTTTCCCCCTTCATAGAACGCGTAGCTACATTTCCTTTAATCCGTTTTCACCGGCCATTTCCCGGTATTTAATGTCCCCGCCCGGAAAGGTTTTAGTTAACTACAAATAATGAGTCGCAGCTTTAAAACTACTTTATAATGATAGTGTATGTGAAATGTAACTAAACATTCAGACAGTACACATATGTTTGAGACACAACAGTATGATACAAAAATTGAATTAAAATAGTTTTAAATATTTGATTTTTCAATAATGGCTGGATTTAAGTACTTTTATAATTGCAAAATAGTACAAAGCTCCATTACACAATAGTATATAAAAACTTATATAAAATTAGAATGGAGATATATATTTCTTGACCCGGCATTGCTATGCCTCCAGGAATGTCGCGGTGACCTGTCTGCAGCAGCAGCTACTCCTCCTCAAGGTCCTTGCCTGCCGTCCCTCTCAAGCATCTCCTCAAGGTCCTTGCCTGCCGTCCCTCTCAAGCATCTCCTCAAGGTCCTTGCCTGCCGTCCCTCTCAAGCATCTCCTCAAGGTCCTTGCCTGCCGTCCCTCTCAAGCATCTCCTCAAGGTCCTTGCCTGCCGTCCCTCTCAAGCATCTCCTCAAGGTCCTTGCCTGCCGTCCCTTTCCTTCTCCTCCCCATCTTCGGCTTAGTGTCGCATAGTGAGCCTCTCTTCGTGACCTCCATCCAGGTCGATGAGGTTGTGCATGTGATCGCTCCCCTTCGGCCTCTGCTTCTCTTTCAGCGCAGCAGATTTCTGGCAGTGGCCTGCTGAAGTCCTGAACTGCCTTTCTTCTTGCTTCATTCCTGTCTCAGCAGGTTCGAAAGTTTCTCTCTCGTTCTCAATCAAGTCTCTGCTGCATGGCCAAAGCTCCTTTCCCCATGTCTGGATCTGTATCAACCCGACAGATTGTGTGCCTCCTTGCTCTGCTCCATTATGCACAGACAACATTTCTGTGCCAGTCAGAACTCGAAAGCGGGCACCGCCGAACGTGCTCGTCCTCAGCGATGGCGTTCAAGCTACATGGAAGTGGGCTTATTGTTCACGCTTCGTTTCTGACAGACAGGTTGAGAGGAGGCGCTGCTCCTCTAATGAGAACCAGGTGCGGGTCCCTTGAAAGAGGAGGGAGGTGACAGGCCGCCAGGTCTGTGATCGAGAAAGAGAAGCAAGACGAGGGGGTCACCAAGGAAAGCGACCCGGAAGAGGAGGCTGTTGCTCAGTGCAAGAAAGGCGAAGGGAAACCAGCGGTGATAGGCAAGTCGCACCATGTGGACCATGATGCCTCCGCACAGCAATATGTCCCAAGTAAGTGGTGACCTCAAACTTCGTAAGTCTGAACCATTTTAGTAGTCATAGCCAAGCGGAAGAGCAAGCTCAGCTCCTTGTATGATGTCGATTTTGACGAGAAAGGAGTTCTAGGAACAGGAACGTTTTCAACAGTCCGTGTGGCAACGCACAAAGAAACAGGAATGCAATATGCGGTGAAAGCGATCAACCTCGTTGGAATTCAACCGCAGACCCTTGTTCGTTTGCGACGAGAAATTCAAGTGCTGAGATCTCTGAACCACAAGAATATCATCCAGCTGTATGAGATCTTCGAGGAAGACGGCAAGCTCTTCATGATTATGGAGCTTTGCACCGGAGGAGAACTCTGGCATTTCCTGCAGAGGGTTGAAATCTTTCCTAATGGCGAGAAGGTCTTGGAAGCTGAGTCACTCTTACCGCTGACGTGCTTTGCTCCAGTTCTACTACTCCCCGTTGGGTAAGGTTGAACTCTCGGAGAAGCGAGTTGCAAGGATCATCAAGGGGATAGTGGAGGCCATTCACTACTGCCATCAGCGACACGTTGCTCACCGTGACTTGAAGCTGGTCTGCTGCTGCACTTGAAGCCTGGAGTGCCTATGACCCGCTGACGGCAGGAAAACCTGATGCTGGAGAGTGAAGAGGAGGATGCAAACATCAAGTTGATAGACTTCGGCTTCAGCAAGGTGTTCTCCAACTCCAACGGGATGTATGCCATCCTCGGCTCCCCGTATTACGTGGCACCCGAAGTTCTCCGCGCTAAGGCGCCGCTGGTAAGGGGGGAGCTGACGGCATTTATGAGACTCTGAGCTGCTGGGAAGGACGCCAGGGGAGGACAGGGCTATGGATGCGCATGCGACATGTGGAGCATCGGCGTCATCACCTTCATGATTCTGTGCGGGCAGGTGAAGAGACTGAGGATGGGGAAGGCAGGAGTCAACTTGTCGTTGCAGGCTCCTTTCGACGGCGAGAACGATCATGAGAGGCTGCTGGCAGTGAAGCGAGGAAACTTCACGTACCCTCCTCACGGTGAGAGCGGCTCCTGCACGATTGTCTCTGAGCTTCCCACAGCCAACTTGACGAGTGAAGCGGTCGACTTCATCAACGCGCTCCTCACAGTTGACCCTGCCAAGCGATTGACCGCTAAGGCTGTTAGTCCAGATGCTCACCAGCTCTTCTCGTATGACCGTGGAATGATGCAGGCACTGTCACATGCCTGGCTCCGTCAGAATGCGCGAGACGCTTCCGCCAATGTCTTCACACAGCTCAAACGATTCGCTTCCTCCATCCTACGGTCCATCCATCCTCCTTCCCGTCATGTGCTCTTGTCTGACATTCGACAGATGGGGGGGAGGGGCGGAATAAATCAAATGCCACTTGCGACATACCCAACATGAACATCTACAAGATGAAAAGAAACAGTGTTGAAGAGCTCGTTTTACTGATCATCAATATGATCTCCTCAGAATTGTGTCAGAGTAGTCACATTTCGTTGCAATGAAATGACATTCTTCCATCATATTCAATTTCTTCTGTTTTCTGTAATTTGCTCTGTTTCCTTTTGTTGCACTATACCTCCCCCTCATTTTGCATCTCTCCCGTACCCCTTCACTCTTTTCTCTTCCTCACTCCCTTCCCCTCCTCCATTCATATGCCTTCTCTTGCTTGCTCCACATTCATATGCCTTCTCTGCCCCTCCCCGGTGGACCTCTCGTCTCGCGCTTGCTGCCTTGTCCCATTTCATCCTCGCTCCTCACTCCCCGTCTCTCCCTCCATTCCTTTCTCACCGATTCACGCATTTCTTCCTCCTTCAGTCCCTTGCTTTCATCCTCTCCTTGTTCCTCTTCTCTTCCCTACCTTCATGAAAAGGCCTTAATTCCCTGCCTACGTCCGTCCGTCTCTCACCTCCCTCCCTCCCTCTCCCTCTCCCTCTCCCTCCCTCCCTCCCCCTCTCTCTCCCTCTCTCTCCCTCAGAATTCAAATCAGCACCCACCAATCAAACCCTCACACCCCCTCTTTTCCCTATGAATGTTGGTAAGAGGGGGTGGGTCATGAGGGACACCCGCTGGTTTCATAGCCCTTCCGGTTGGCGCCATGAGAGAAGGAAATGTAGGGGAGTAGCGAAACTCACAGAGACAGAAGAGGCATGCAGGCAGACAGATAGACTGACAGACTGACTGACTCACTCACTCACTCACTCACTCACTCACTCACTCACTCACTCACTGGCTGGCTGGCTGATCGGACTGACTGGCTGATCGGACTGACTGGCAGGCAGGCAGGCACGCAGGCAGGCACGCAGGCAGGCACGCAGGGATAGGGATAGGGCAGTGGCAGACACTTGTGGTGAAGCGAATTGAGACTGGAAAAGAAGTGAAAGGTTTGACATAAGGTAGATGATGACTGTTGCTTTCAGATGTTGAAACTCTTTGGGTCTCAAGCCTCCCAGCATCCAGCGATGTGTTGATGTTTTAAGAAACGTTGAGGTACAAGGAGCAGAAGGACAAGGAAGAATAACCAGGAGAAGCAAGAGAAGCACGTTCAACAGACTCTTTCTGCCGAATATCATCTTCCTCCGCTTCCCTTTCTCTGCCCAGGGATGATGAGAGGAAGAAACGTCCTCGTTCTGAGCTTCCTCCTCTTCCATCCCGCTGCACAGGCGTTGATCTCTCCTGAGTTCTGGGATGGCACTATGCCTTGCCTCTCAGTGGATGGGCGGCAGGTGGAGCTGCAGCCTGACTTCACGCGGCAGCAGAGGAAGCAGAGCTCCTACATCATGCGTAGCGCCACCAAGCTCCTCCGCGACATGCAGCACTCGACCTGCTTCCGCGGCTGCTCGCACGTGGACCAAGCTGAGAGCAAGAAGGAAGCGGCGGCAGCGCTGAAAGACAGCAGCCTGATCGACGTCAACGCGTGGAGGGTGAGCTGGAGCTCGTTGACTGAGGTGAGAGTGAGGAATCGAAGGTGTGACGTTGTGTTGACCTGTGGGAGCAGGAGGAGAAGAAGTTTATCGAGGAGGGCCGAAAGCTATCGGAGAGCATCAAACATGTCAGGGTCAGGCTTGCCAACGACCCTTCGCTCATGGCATCAGACGAGGGTGCTGTGCTCATGGAGGAGTTCCAGAAGGGCGTCGCCGTCCTCGAGCAGCTGCGCCTTCAGGTGGCCAACGCTACTGCTCCTTTTCTCAGTGGGATCGCTGGCGACCTGTCCAAGTCACTGGCACCGCTGCAAGGATTCCTTATGACATGCCAAGACAAGCTGTCGCATCAGTTCACTCGCTTCATGTTGGGCCCTGCCGTCTCCTCTGCCCTCGGCAATGCCCAGGCCCTGTGCGGACTGGCTGCGCTTGTCGATCTCATCGAGATCACCAAGAAAATTCGCGCGACGTGCGAGGAGGAGAGAGAGGGAAGAGGCTCTCTCCGGAAGGCGCTCCTTCACCTTCACCGCGCTGAGAGTGACGTCTTGTCTGCGGGCTCAGCCCTCGATCGCATCATCAGCGACTCGCTGGCTGAGCGGCAGGTGGACCGTAAGGACATGAAACTTTTCGCTCTCGAGCAGCATGACCTCGCCGTTCAGCTCGCCAACGTCCGCAGTCACCTGCTCGTCGCTCGCTCCCACGCTCAGCGGGAGATCACGTCGTATGATCGGAAGGCGAAGCAGTGGGGGCTGATGAGCATCCTCCTTGCCGTCAGCTCCAAGCTCGGCGTTACGGCTGCTGGCGCTCTGGCTCCTCTCAGTGAGCTCTCGGTCGGGGCTGCCATGTCGGTGGCTGCACTACAGTTGGTGATGCGACTGGTGAGAGGAAGAGTGAAGGACCAGCTCGATGACCTCCAGCAGCGTCACGACGAGGCCCTCAGTGAGCATGCGGGGCTGCATGCTCAATTCAGCGAGGTGAGAATCCCTCCTCCTCCTCAGGAGGCACAGGAGAAGGTCAAGGATGAGCCCATCTTCCTCCACGCGGGGAACATCCGCGAGAGAATCAAGCTGGGAGACCTGGACCACGTCGACGACGAGCACGTGCTCTCACAGCTCCGCTCTCTCGTCAACGAGCCCAACAGCGGCGGCGAGGGAGCGGACATCGAAGCAGACGAACTTCGCCAGCTGAAGCCACTGATAGAGAAGCTCTTGAAGCGCAGAGAGGAAGCAGCGAACCAGCAGGCGCGAGCTACTTCGCTGCCTCTCGCAGCTGCCGAGGATAAGCCGCAAGACTCTGCGGCTTCCGTGGCATCAACAGAACGCACGTCACATCCTGCTGAGGTTTTGGAGACGCGGAAACAATCAGGCATTCGTCCGCCTTCAGTCCGCCTTTCCACTCCTCCCCACCCTCCCGATCCTCGTTGCCCCTCGCCCCGAGCTGAGATTCCAATTCCACGATCGCAGCTTCGCCCTCCTTCTCTCGGTACCGCCAGGCTCCCTCACTTGGCGTTGCTGACTGTCTTCAGGCCTGACCCGAGAAGCTCGCGAGGTCTCTGCAGGCCCGTGGCGCAAGGAAGGAGCCGTGCGGGTGAAGCTGGAGGAGCGCGCGAGCGTCGAACCTCCTCACCCTCTGCGAGCGACCAAGAAAGTGGCGATGACTCCCGATCCCCAAAGCGTCGCGAGGGTGAGAGAGGGAGAGGGAGAGGAGGGCGAGCCGGTTGATGATGCACAGCGAGACTCGCTCTCTGTGGGAGCGAGTGAGGATGATGCTGGACGAGGAGAAAGGCGATTGGAGGATCAACTGCTGCAGGTGAGAGGAGGAGGAGGAGGAGGAGGAGGAGGAGCTGAAAGCAAGTCAGCTCCTGCTGATGAGGATGGAAATTACGTCAGACCCACACAAGAAGCAGACACTCAAGACTCTTGCGGACCAGGTCAGCAGCATAGGACTGACCCTCCTCCCGCCCCTCGACTTCTCTTGTCCTCGTCGCCTCCTCCTTCTCTTACTTTCTTTCAGCTTCGTGAAGCAACTCGTGCTGCTCGCCAGCAGATGAAAGCGTCCATGAGGACTGAGATGGTCTTGAAGGTGCCTCTTCGTCCCCTCTGCCTCTGCTTCCTTCTCCCTCTCATCACAACCTCGACTCCTCTAGGATTGCGTGGACCCAACGCTGGCACAAAAGATTCTCGAGGCTCAGGAGGCAGCAGCGCAGCAGACGCAAGCGACGATGAGGGAGTGTCTACAGGTGGCGCCTCCCTCCTCCTTGCTCCTCCGCCTCTCACCACCTATAGGCCACCATGCTCGCCCTCGAGGACGAATGCAATGCCAGAACGGCCATGGAAGTCGCTGCGGGGATGCGAGATGCGAGGGATGTGGAAGCTTCGTCGGCAGGAGGGAGGGAGGAAGAGGTCAAGGTGGCTGCATGGAAGGAATTTCTCGCTAGGCAATCGAAAGCTGCGATGAGAAGGTTTTCCGTCCTCTGCTCTCTTTCTCCCTTTCGTCCATCTCTGACGTTTTTTAGTGCCAGGACTCAGTCGGCAGACAAGCGATAAGTGGAGGGAGAGGTCTGGCATGGCTGCTGACCACGAGGATGTTCTGTTGTGTAAAGTAGAAGTTGAAGTTGCAAAGGAAGAGAAGAGGGTTATATAAGGTGAATGAAATGTAACAGTACAAGCCCTCACGCTGAGAAGCTGTCCGTCTCCTGCTCATCTCGTCACCAACTCTCACACGCCTCTGACTCTCACCTGGCGGCACATGGCGGTGAGGACGCAAACTTGAGTATCCTTAGGGATGAGGGCTGCCTGCAGCTCCGGGTTGACAAGCTTGAAGGCGTCAGCCCGCATACCAAACCTCTGCAGCGAAGTCACAAGACATGGAGAGAAAGGAAGAGTCGACCTGCATGATGACGGTCACGTCGGTGTCCTTGCTGACATGGAACGAAGGGCCGAGATGGAGGAACGAGAGCTGCGAGAGGTTCTGCGGGTTCTGCAGATGCGGGTTGGCTCCCCAAAGCTGCAGCCACGTGGTGCGGTAGTGACGAGCGAGGGCGAGAAGAGTCTCCCCTCTCATCACGCATGTCTTGCACTTGGAAACGCGGAAGTTGGCACAGAACCGAAGGCGATTGAACCGCGAGAACTTTCGCTCTTGCAACCAGAAGCAAGACTGGAAGGTTTGAGCCTCCAGCCCTCTGCTTGGCGTCCATCGCAGCTCGAACCTCGTCATCGGGTAACTCTTGTCTGCACACACTCGATCTTGCCTGTCGCTGCACACCATCAGTGGCTGACCCTCGGAGAAGAAGGCGGAGGGAGGAAGAAGATCATGCGAGTCGCCGACAAGAGCTGCAGTGTAGTTCGTCTGCAGCGAAGGAGTCGCAGGTCCCTGCTGATAACGACTTGGCTCGTAGACAGTGATGCTCCAGACATAGTCACAGCCCACCAGAACATCGTGGTAGAAGGCGGCGGAAAGATTGAGATCCGTCGAGTTAAGAGCGAAGGAGGGAGGGACTACTGAGATCGACAGGCACGTGTCGGTAGAGAGCTGAGGCCAAGAAGAAGAGTTGGGCAGCAGGTACGACGAGATGGCAGACAAGCAGAACTTGAAGCTCAGGCCCACCTGATCTTCCGATGGAGCGAAGGAGACTGCTCTGCTGAAGACGTAGTGCTGGTGCTTTAGCGCGCGGTCGGGCAAGTAGGTGAACTCCAGCAGGTTAGACGAACTCGTGGGGTTGGTCGAGTCACTGGGGCCTCCATACATTCCTGCGATGGTGAAACCGTTAGGAAGACCAGGGTTTGACAAGACGGCGACGTTGACGGAGGCGTAAGACAGTGCGCAAGAGAAGTATATGTTACGCTCCAAAGTCTGCCCAAGGCCAACGGCAGAGAGCTCGTTGAGAGGAGCGATCAAGCAAACGGGCTGTTGATAAGGTTTGAAGCTCCAGGTGCTGCTGTTAAAGAGCTGCACACACTGAGAGTTGTTGAGAATGGGCTTGGGCGGCACCAGGAGGTAGACGTTGAAACAGAAGCTGCTTGTCTTGGATAGGCCATCCCTCGCCTGCAAGCACACATGCACCAGAGGTGACGGGAAGGTCTCGTAGCTCCCGGAAGGCTGCAGCTTCATGCTGAAGTCGATAGAGCTACGGTTTGTCAGCCCCTCTGTGAAGGACAAGCTTGCCTGTATGCTGAAGCCATCAAAATTGCAGGAGAGAGGAACGAGTGTCGTCGGAGCAGTTTGCGTCAGACAGAACAAACTAATCTGCAACAAGTTAGCACTGCTCGAGATTGAGCCCTGCGGCGTTCCACTTGGGTCTGCGTCGTGTATCTTGACTGTTTCAGAGAGGTTGAGCAATTGGCCGGGCGCCAGGGGAAACGTTTGATTGTACTGAAGAGAGGTGACGAAGACCGGAGCAACATCCCCACGGGCTCCAACGAAGAGGCCGACGAGGGCCAGCATCAAGGCTCTGACCATGTCTGACTTGTCGATGTTGATCGATCTACGCTACACTTCTTTCCACCCCCTACTTGTTCTCAGGCTTCCTTCTCCTTGTTCTCAAGTAGAGTACCGTGCGTGTCTTCTACGCCACTGCTCCTCCTCTTGTTCACCTAGATCGTTCCTGACTCAGAATTTGACGGACGGCACGAGCCTAGGACACCATGCGGAATGAGCTGACAAAGTCCCGGGGGAACTGAAAGAAAGTCAAAAGACTTCCCAGCATTCAGCTTACTAACACTTCAATAGAACCCGTGCTATCCCCTCCTCCCCGAATCCCCTCTCCTCCGATCCCTTCACCTCTTCCCTTGCCTTCACGTCCCTCTTCCGACTGATCTCAACGATGACCGTATGATTTACCTCACCCCCTCAGCCTTTCCCCTTCCCTAGAACTAACCATTCCTCCCCTTACTCAGCGTCTCTACCTCTTTCTATCTTACCTCTCCTCATTCCCTCCTCTCTCCACCGCCACTCCTCTCCTCCTCTCCTCCTCTCCTCCT